AATACATAAAAAAAGTTAAATGATAAATATTTTCGCTATATTGAAGCGTTAGGTTCTAGGTGTGCGAGGAATAGCCGATCGAATTGGAGAGGAGGCAGAGCGCATGTTAAGCTTTCCTGAATAAGTGGGCCTGCCAGGAGCATATGTTGCCACATCATTAAAGGACTACTTGGGAAAATGATGATGTGAAACAGACAGCGCATTCAGTATCAGATGTAAAAAAAAAAAAATACAGCCAGACTTCCTCCTACTGTGCCTTTCTAGACCTGATAAACTGTTGAGAGTAGACCCCAGAGATGTTCACAAGTCTTTGAGGTAGAGTCCAAGTCAAGTCTCAAGTCCCCTTTGGCAATGGCTTTCTGCCTGCTGTGGGTTAGGTCTATTGACCCTGTAAATTATTTGAAGAGACTCCCTTGTTCATTAGTCCATACTTATATGAAAGAAAGCACTATTTAAATCAAAATACATTTCCTTTTAAAATGTAGACAGTTGACAATAATAAAAGTCATTGTACCGGATATGAAAAAAAGCAAACATAACATTTTAAAGTGCATGGTATTTTGTGGCAGATATTGTCTGTATTTCACCTAATTCTGTCACACAAACAGAAAATCTGTAGGTGAGAATCTGTAGGTGAGGGAAGATACATTTACAAGTATTAATGTAAACCAAAATGACTGACAACTGTTCAATATCTGCACTACTAAAGTGTCCTATATATCAAACATAATCCCCTTTGTCCCTAAAATATACTTACTGACCTGGACACTTAACAACAGAAGTAGCAAATTACATCCTGTGCCTTAAGACAGAGAACATTTATTTTGCTGACAGGTTACATTTCAGAAATAACAAGTTTGTCAGCGTTCTTGCACTGAGCCTGGCATGATGAGGGCACATGATGAGGCCTCCATGACTAAACACTCTCCACTGGGGCACTTGGTGACAGGCACAGCCAACACTGTCATTTCTACCTGCTTGAGCCTTGGAAAGTCTTTTGCATGGATTCTCCAAAAATCCAAGCAATCAACTTCATTTTCATCAGAAGATACTTGAATGTAGCGAATAATCTCTGCTCTGACAGATGACTTTATGTCTCCTTTCTTCTTGCTGATCTTGTTGCGGTCGCCAGAGAACAGTCTGGAGGTTTTGGCAGGTGGTTATTCTTCTTCTTCTTCTTCTCCACTACTGCTCTCCGTAACGGTGACTTTCCGTGCCTCTGACAAAACAAGGTCTGAAAAAAATTCATTAAATGATGTATATGATCAAGAATATAACAGTATACGTAATACATGGGGGAAAAAATCATTATTATTTGAATGCAAGTGACATAGGAAACGTTGCATGTTGCAATGCATTGTACCTACCAATCAGACTCTCATTCAATTCAGCTTTATCTTCATGTGGTATGAGGACTTCATGATCAAGCCAGAACAGGCAGAAAGATGGGTCCAGCATTGCAGCCATTATGTATACATTGTCACCAAATGGAAGTTTTGTTGCCTGTTCATCCGAGTGCTCCATTCTGACATTCACAAACACCCCCTGGAATCGGCGTTTGAGTGACTGCTTCAGTACTTTTACTAGACTGACTAGGTGACAACTTGTGCTCCGTATACTTTGCAGATGATAGTTGAGTGACAGTACACAAGGAAGGGCAGCACTGAGAGTCACCACTTTCTCCCCCTGAGTAAGGTCAGTGGCCTGGACAAAAGGGTCCAAAATGTCCACTAGCTCCAATAGCTGGCTCCATTCCCTTGGTGATAAGCAGAGCCCCTTGTGTCCTTGGGCCTCAAGTAGAGTATTGAGGCTTTGTTGATTCAGATCGATGACTGCTTTAACAAGCCAGAGGATGGGATTCCATCTGGTAGACACAGCAGCAGGGATACTACGATTGGCTCCGAATTTAGCTTCAAATGCTTCTTTCAGACCACAGGTAGTATGTAGTAAGCTGCAAAGTTTAGTTACCTTAGCCATCACACTGTTTATGATTTTTGTTTCCTTTAGTCCATCTGTAATCACCAGTTGTAATTAATGGGCAAAGCGCTGTTGCCTGCAGTTGGTTTGGATAGCTTCAACATCAGCGTTGTACTCTTCACCAAATTCTTCCCATAGGCTGGGGTTATCCACATCATCATCATCATCATTTGCACACACTGTATATATATTTTCTGTTGTATTTTATGACCTTATGTTTTTTTTTACCCCATATGTAACTCTGTGTTGTTGTTTTTATCGCACTGCTTTGCTTTATCTTGGCCAGGTCGCAGTTGTAAATGAGAACTTGTTCTCAACTGGCTTACCTGGTTAAATAAAGGTGAAAAAAAAAAAAAAAAAAAAAAATCATGATCATTGCTTGCTTTGGGGAAACAAACTGTGAAGGCCTTTTTCATATTTTCAGCGTTATCACATATGATATAATCTAATTTATGTTTTATGCCAAAATTATCACATATAAATTCAAATGTATCACTGATTCTTTCCCCAGTGTGTGACCCTGTGAATCTATCACAGGGAAATCATTGGAAATCTGTTCCTAAGTATTCCCACGCATAATAGAGAGACGTGATCGTATACAAATAATAATAAATAATAATTGATTGGATTTATATAGCACTTTTCTACCAACTGAGGTACTCAAAGAGCTTTACATAGTACGGGGAAACTCACCTCATCCACCATCAATGTGTAGCACCCATCTCAGTGATGCACAGCAACCATTTTTGTGCCAGAACTCTCACCACACATCAGTTATCAGGTGGCGAGGTGAGGAGTGATATATGCCAATTAGGAATGAGGGGGATGATTAGGTGGCCATGATGGAATGTGGCCAGGTTGGGAGTTTAGCCATGACACTCGGGTGAACACCCCTACTCTTACAATAAGCACCATGGGATTTTGAATGACCACAGAGAATCAGGACACCCATTTTAACGTCCCATCCGAAAGATGGCACCCTACGCAGGACAATGCTCCCAAATGTATTCAAGGTTTGAAATGATTATGTTTAGTCAAATATATTATCTGTTCAGGCTTCTTGCGGTACATTTGCAGTCTAGAAAGATATATATTTATTATGTTCCGGCCCCCCGACCATCCGCTCAATAAATAATTGGCCCGTGGCTGAATCTAGTTGATGATCCCTGCTCTACACTATACTTGCTTCTTTTGTCACAAACTGAAATTAGGAAAACTATTAGAATTTTACCTACCAGGAAATGGCAGAGCGATTTCTGCATAGTGTATCTTTAATAGTCACATTATCTTCTGCATTTTTGCATTATGTTGGGCTTTTTAGTACTTTATTTCTGTCTTTTCATGGCAGCCTAAATATGAACTTGCAAATGGAGGAGGAATTGACTGTTGTGCCAGGGGGAGGAGCCATAATCATTTTTACCCTGTGGCATACAGTACATTCGGAAAGTATTTAGACCCCTTGACTTTTTTCAAATTTTGTTATGTTACAGCCTCATTCTAAAATTGATTAAATCGTTTTTTTTCCTTCATCAATCTACACACAATACCCCATAATGACAAAGCAAAAAAAGGTTTTTAGAAATTTTTTGCAAATGTGTAAAAAAACTAACTGAAATATAACATTTACATAAGTATTCAGACCCTTTACTCAGTACTTTGTTGAAGCTTCTTTGGCAGCAATTACAGCCTTGAGTCTTCTTGGCACACCTGTATTTGCGGAGTTTCTCCCATTCTTCTCTGAAGATCCTCTCAAGCTCTGTCAGGTTGGATGGGGAGCGTCGCTGCACAGCTATTTTCAGGTCTCTCCAGAGATGTTCGATCGGGTTCAAGTCCAGGCTGTGGCTGGGCCACTCAAGGACATTCAGAGACTTGTCCCTGAAGCCACTCCTGCGTTGTCTTGGCTGTGTGCTTAGGGTCGTTGTCCTGTTGGAAGGCGAACCATCGCCCCCAGTCTGAGGTCCTGAGCGCTCTGGAGCAGGTTTTCATCAATGATCTCTCAGTACTTTGCTCCGTTCATCTTTCCCTCAATCCTGACTAGTCTCACAGTCCCTGTCACTGAAAAACGTCCCCACAGCATGATGCTGCCACCACCATGCTTCACCGCAGGGATGGTGCCAGGTTTCCTCCAGACGTGACGCTTGGCATTCAGGCCAAAGAGTTCAATCTTGGTTTCATCAGACCTGAGAATCTAGTTTGTCATGGTCTTGAGAATCCTTTAGGTGCCTTTTGACAAACTCCAAGCGGGCTGTCACGTACCTATTACTGAAGAGTGACTTCCATCTGGCCACTCTACCATAAAGGCCTGATTGATGTAGTGCTGCAGAGATGGTTGTCCTTCTGGAAGGTTCTCCCATCTCCACAGAGGAACTCTGGAGCTCTGTCAGTGACCAGCAGGTTCTTGGTCACCTCCCTGACCAAAGCCCTTCTCCCCCGATTGCTCAGTTTGGCCAGGCGGCCAGCTCTAGGAAGAGTCTTGGTGGTTGTTAACTTCTTCCATTTAAGAATGATGGAGGCCACTGTGTTTTTGGGGACCTTCAATGCTTGTAGAAACATCTCAAGGATGATCAATGGAAACAGAATGCACCTGAGCTCAATTGAGTCTCATAGCGAAGGGTCTGAATACTTATGTAAATAAGGTATTTATTGTTTTTGTTTTTAATTTCTAAAAACCTGTTTTCGCTTTGTCATTATTGTGTGTAGATTGATGAGGGAAAAAATAATTTAATCAATTTTAGAGTAAGGCTGTAACGTAACAAAATGTGGAAAAAGGGAGGGGGTCTGAATACTTTCTGAATGCACTGTATATCCCCCCCCCCCCCCCCCCCCATTCCACTTTTCCTTTTTTGGGGGGTTACACGGGGACACGCATAATGAAATATTAATGTGTAAATGGTGACGTTGTATTTTGTATAAATATGCAGAATTGATCATAGCCTACACATCTGCCACTCTTTAACTTTGTTTCCATCCCTCCTCACTACCAAGTTCTCACATTGTGTGTACCCTCTCAGGTTCTCTCTCAGGAATCAGTATGGCACACCGCTCTCAATGTTCCTCAGCCGGGGATAACCCCCTGGACCCCAACTACCTGCCTCCCCACTACCGCGAGGAGTACCGGCTGGCCATTGACGCACTTGTGGAGGATGACCTGGAGGGCTATTATGAATTCCTCCAGAGTGCGGATGTGGTGGACTTCCTCTCCAGACAGGAAATTGAGCACATTAAGTGCACAGTGCAAGTTCCGTACCAGAGCATTCAGCCTGAGCTCCCGTATGTGGAGTCTGGGGGAGACGGCTCTTCAGACACATACTGGCCTGTCCACTCTGACTTGGATGCACCCGGTCTTGACCTTGGCTGGCCCCAACAGCATCGCTTCATAGGCCCCACCGATGTCACCACACTGGTTAACCCCTCTGAGCCAGATATGCCAAGTATCAAGGCGCATGCTCGTCGACTTATCAAGAATGCTCAACAAGTATGTTGATCACCTCTATATTACAGTTTTTTTTCAATGACTTTCATGCAATTTTCACAAGTGTGGTACATCTTCACAACTCTTTCAAAACTCTTAGCACGTTTTCAATTCCTCGTTTTGCAAATTTTGCCATATTGTAGATTGCTCTCCGTTACTCTTTTTTTGTATGGTGATTAACAGAGTATACCTGATCCCAATTTTAGATTGTGCTGATTTATTGGCACATTGAACCATCTCGCAGCATTCTGCAATCTTTATGCACGTTTGCCATTGACTGAGTACAACAAACACATTCACTACAGATGTAGGGTCTTAATTTGATCACTCTTTTGTTGCTGAGAATTTTCCTGCATAGCAGGAAATGCAAACTTGTAGGGTATTCAATGTTTAATGTTTGTCCTAACGAAAAATGTATAATCCACATAATAATTCACATTTCCTGTTGCTGCAGGATTATTTTCCTGTTGTAGGATCTTACTTTTAGCCAGTTTGCTACATCTGTAAGTCACTTGTTTACTGCACCAAATCACTCTTTCAATTTGGATACATACATCTAAGTATCTAGTTTTCAAAATGCAATATTCACTTTACTTTTGATATGATTTTCTTGTCATTTGTTAACAATACAATGAACTATCACTTAATCAAACTGCTCAAAATGGATAACTTCTGAACCAAAATGATGTAGTGCCAGGTTAACATATATACTGTAGTTTGATAACTGCTGAACTGTGCATTTCTATATTTTTACCTCATAAATGTAGCAATTTGACATCAATTTATGTTGGAAGGTAAAACCAAATCATGTATGGATGTGGCTGTAAATACTACATCATCATTCTCCATCAGCCAGTGTGCTTCAACAGGACAAAATGGAAAGTGTCACTATGTGCTATCATTTTCAATTATAGTGTAGTGTACAATCCACTGCTGAAATACCTGGGGCCTCATTTATCAATATTGCGTAAAAACTATTCTAAAATACTACTTATAAACAGAATTTAGAATGTTCTTACGCATAGAAAAAGTGTGATTTATCGAACAATCCTACAGGCGTCATACGCACACTGGTAGGAGATAATCATTGATAAATACCAATTGTTCTCAGCCTCAGTGCTTGTGCATGACCTTGGCTATTTGCATTTGGAAGCGCCTCTAATTAACCATATACAGGTATGGTCAAAATCTACCCTTTAAAGCCTGTGGGGAATATACAACGCTGTACCATGAAATAGCCTACAACTGCGCAACCAAAAAAATCTATGTTTTATTTATTTTTTTGACTGAAATAGAGGTGCTAGTATCGGAGATTGAGTACAATCAAAAGGTTTAATTTGGCTCGCTCAGTTGTGGCTTGACCAGTAAAAATAAAAACATAGCTACACCGAGAGGACCATTAGGACAATTCAAGTTGCTTTAGCAATGGCAAATATACTTCAAATGAGTAGGGAACACTCATCAATAAGCCATCCATCCATCCTCAACAGCTCCCTCCTGTAGGCGTAATAATAATATGCCATTTAGCAGACGCTTTTATCCAAAGCGACTTAGTCATGTGTGCATACATTTTGACGTATGGGTGGTCCCGGGGATCGAACCCACTACCCTAGCGTTACAAGCGCCATGCTCTACCAATTGAGCTACAGAGGACCGTATCAGCCAACATTGCTGATCTGCAGATTGAACGAGTCGTGCGTTCCACCTGGCCACCTTGCCACCACATTCAGCAGCGTCTTTTGCGCATCATATAACCTATCACCTGCACATTAAGAGTGGAAGCCGTTTCTGTTCACATACAGTGCCTTCACATTTTGTTATGTTACAGCCTGAATTTGAAATTGATTAAATTGAGATTTTGTCTCACTGGCCTACACACAATACCCATAATGTCAAAATCGAATTATGTTTTTAGAAATGTTTACAAATTAATTAAAAATGAAAAGCTGAAATGTCTTGAGTCTAAGTATTCAACCCATTTGTTATGGTAAGCCTAAATAAGTTCAGGTGTAAAAATGTGCTTAACAAGTCACATATTAAGTTGCATGGACTCACTCTGTGTGCAATAATAGTGTTTAACATGAATGACTACCTCATCTCTGTACCCCACATATACAATTACAGTGCCTTGCAAAAGTATTCATCCCCCTTGGTGTTTTTCCTATTTTGTTACATTACAACCTGTAATTTAAATGGATTTTTATTTGGATTTCATGTAATGGACATACACAAAATAGTCCAAATTGGGGAAGTGAAATGAAAACAATAACTTGTTTAAAAAAATTCTAAAAAATAAATAACGGAAAAGTGGTGCGTGCATATGTACTCACCCCCTTTGATATGAAACCCCTAAATAAGATCTGGTGCAACCAATTACCTTCAGAAGTCACATAATTAGTTAAATAAAGTCCACCCGTGTGCAATCTAAGTGTCACATGATCTGTCACATGATCTCAGTATATATACAACTGTTCTGAAAGGCCCCAGAGTCTGCAACACCACTAAGCAAGCGGCACCATGAAGACCAAGGAGCTCTCCAAACAGGTCAGGGACAAAGTTGTGGAGTACAGTAGGGGTTGGGTTATAAAAAATATCCGAAACTTTGAACATCCCACGGAGCACCATTAAATCCATTATTAAAAAATGGAAAGAATATGGCACCACTACAAAACTGCCAAGAGATGGCCGCCCACCAAAACTCACGGACCAGGCAAGGAGGGCATTAATCAGAGCGACAACAAAGAGACCAAAGATAACCCTGAAGGAGCTGCAAAGCTGTCCATAGGACCACTTTCAGCCGTAAACTCCACAGAGCTGGGCTTTAAGGAAGAGTGGCCAGAAAAAAGCCATTGCTTAAAGAACAAAATAAGCAAACACGTTTGATGTTCGCCAAAAGGCATGTTGGAGACTCCCCAAACATATGGAAGAAGGTACTCTGGACAGATGAGACTAAAATTGAGCTTTTTGGCCATCAAGGAAAAAAACGCTATGTCTGGCACAAACTCAACACCTCTCATTACCCCGAGAACACCATCCCCACAGTGAAGCATGGTGGTGGCAGCATCATGCTGTGGGGGTGTTTTACATCGACAGGAACTGGGAAACTGGTCAGAATTGAAGGAATGATGGATGGCGCTAAATACAGGGAAATTCTTGAGGGAAACCTGTTTCAGTCTTCCAGAGATTTGATACTGGGACGGAGGTTCACCTTCCAGCAGGACAATGACCCTAAGCATACTGCTAAAGCAACACTCGAATGGTTTAAGGGGAAACATTTAAATGTCTTGGAATGGCCTAGTCAAAGCCCAGACCTCAATCTAATTGAGAATCTGTGGTATGACTTAAATATTGCTGTACACCAGCGGAACCCATCCAACTTGAAGGAGCTGGAGCAGTTTTGCCTTGAAGAATGGGCAAAAATCCCAGTGGCTAGATGTGCCAAGCTTATAGAGACATACCCCAAGAGACTTGCAGCTGTAATTGCTGCAAAAGGTGTCTCTACAAAGTATTTGTGGACTTTGGGGGGATGAATAGTTATGCACACTCAAGTTTTCTGTTTTTTTGTCTTATTTCTTGTTTGTTTCACCCCCAAAAATATTTTGCAACATCAAAGTGGTAGGCATGTTGTATAAATCAAATGATACAAACCCCCCAAAAATCCATTTTAATTCCAGGTTGTAAGGCAACAAAATAGGAAAAATGCCAAGGGGGTGAATACTTTCGCAAGCCATTGTATCTGTAAGGTCCCTGAGTTGAGCAGTTAATTTCAAACACATATTCAACCACAAAGACCAGGGTGGTTTTCCAATGCCTCGCAAAGAAGGGCATCTATTGGTAGATGGGTAAAAAAAATAAAAAATGTCCCTTTGAGCATGGTGAAGTTATTAATTACACTTTGGATGGTGTGTAAATACACCCAGTCACTACAAATATACAGGCGTCCTTCCTATCTCAGTTGCCGGAGAGGAAGGAAACTGCTCAGTGATTTCACCATGAGGCCAATGTTGACTTTAAAACAGTTAAATGTTTAATGGCTGTGATAGGAGAAAACTGAGGATAGATCAACAACATGGTAGTTACTACACAATACTAACCTAAATGACAGAGTGAAAAGAAGGAAGCTTGTACAGAATAAAAATATTCCAAAACATGCATCCTGGCACTAAAGTAAAACTGCAAACAAATTGGCTAAGAAATTAACTTGATGTCCTGAATACAAAGCGTTATGTTTGGGGGAAATCCAACACATCACTGAGTACCACACACCATTTTCAAGCATGGTGGTGACTGCATGTTATGGGTATGCTTGTCATTGGCAAGGACGAGGGAGTTTCTTTAGGATAAAAATAAACGGAATAGAGCCTAGCACTGGCAAAATCCTAGAAGAAAACCTGGTTCAGTCTGATTTCCAACAGACACTGGGAGACAAATATACGCTGGAGTTTGCTTACCAAGACCACATAGAATGTTCCTGAGTGGCCTAGTTACAGTTTGACTTAAATTGGTTTGAAAATATATGGCAAGACTTGAAAATGGCTGTCTAGCATTGAAGAAGCTTGAAGAATTGTTAAAAGAATGTGCAAATATTGTACAATCCAAGTGTGCAAAGCTCTTAAGAGACTTACCCAGAAAGATTCACAGTTGTAATCGCTGCCAAAGGAATTCTAATATTGACTCAGGGCTGTGAATACTTATCGAAATGAGATATTTCTGTATTTCATTTTCAATACATTTGCTAACATTTCTAAAAAAAAATGTTTTCACTTTGTCATTATGGGGTAGTGTGTGTAGATGGGTGAGAAAAAAATCTAATTAAACCATTTTGAATTCAGGCTGTAACACAACAAAATGTGGAATAAGTCAAGGGGTATGAATACTTTCTGAAGGCACTGTTGTTGAACTCGTTTTGGGATGGTGCTTTTATGGCGATGTGAGTACCGTCTATTGCGCCGTTCATATTTGGGAACCCATTGATGGCATCATGACAAAGAAAACCCTCTTGATTTCAACCTGTTGTTCAATGGAAATTGTATGTGTTACTGTACGTTTTGTTAATGACATGCCTCTAATTTAACAAATTACATTACTTTTTATATGTTCGTCAAATTATATGATATATCCTGTCAAGATATGTTGCATGAATTCACAATGGAAATACAATGAAATCGAAAAATGATTTAATTATTACTCTTACAATTTCACACATTTTCAACATATATTTTCCCCATTCTATGACAAGCAGTTCCCTTATTCTACCACTTGGCACTGTGCTTACGCATGGTCATGGCTGTGCGTAAATTTAAAAACACTCAAGCAAACGTTAATATTGATCGATCTCACACTTTGTGCCTATGCATGATTGATAGATGAGGCCTCTGGGTTTTATATAACAATAGATTCCCCTCATTGATACACTAAGCTGATGAATTTCAAGCACAGAGACAGGCGATACTGTATCAGTTGGTGTGTAACAGAAAGGATATAAAATAGTAAATGTAGAATAACTGCACAGCATGCCTCACTATTGCATGCTTTAACATTTTAAGCTAATGTAGGTCTAATGTTAGTATGTCTGATAGTGTGCTCTGTGGTCCTCTCCAGGTGATCGCTGTGGTAATGGACACATTTACAGATGTGGACATCTTTGCTGATATTCTGGACGCTGCCATGCGAAATGTTGCTGTGTATATCATTCTAGATGAACAGAATGCACACCACTTCACTACCATGGCTTCCAACTGCCGGGTCAATCTGGACAGCATTCAAGTGAGTCTATGAAGTGATGCAATATCTTGAATATACTGTATGTGTTGGAGTTTTCCTATTAAGACACATTTATCATTGTCCGAGGCTTTTCTAGAACAGTGAGATGTGTTTCACACATAATTGCCCAGGAGGAAGAGAGGGTATGGGCTTGGCGCTCTGAATGATACACCCTATGACGGCTTCTGGTGTATCGGGGGGGCTTTGTGGCCTGTCGCGAAGGCTCTGTGGAGCTGACCCCAATTAGTCGACTGGTCGATTATTTGGTCGTTAGGCTGTTGGTCGACCGAGATTGTTTTAGTCGAGCAGTAACATATATATATACACACACAGTGGGGGAAAAAAGGATTTAGTCAGCCACCAATTGTGCAAGTTCTCCCACTTAAAAAGATGAGAGAGGCCTGTAATTTTCATCATAGGTACACGTCAACTATGACAGACAAATTGAGAAAAAAAAATCCAGAAAATCACATTGTAGGATTTTTCATGAATTTATTTGCAAATTATGGTGGAAAATAAGTATTTGGTCACCTACAAACAAGCAAGATTTCTGGCTCTCACAGACCTGTAACTTATTCTTTAAGAGGCTCCTCTGTCCTCCATTCGTTACCTGTATTAATGGCACCTGTTTGAACTTGTTATCAGTATAAAAGACACCTGTCCACAACCTCAAACAGTCACACTCCAAACTCCACTATGGCCAAGACCAAAGAGCTGTCAAAGGACACCAGTAACAAAATTGTAGACCTGCACCAGGCTGGGAAGACTGAATCTGCAATAGGTAAGCAGCTTGGTTTGAAGAAATCAACTGTGGGAGCAATTATTAGGAAATGGAAGACATACAAGACCACTGATAATCTCCCTCGATCTGGGGCTCCACGCAAGATCTCACCCCGTGGGGTCAAAATGATCACAAGAACGGTGAGCAAAAATCCCAGAACCACACGGGGGGAGCTAGTGAATGACCTGCAGAGAGCTGGGACCAAAGTAACAAAGCCTACCATCAGTAACACACTACGCCGCCAGGGACTCAAATCCTGCAGTGCCAGACGTGTCCCCCTGCTTAAGCCAGTACATGTCCAGGCCCGTCTGAAGTTTGCTAGAGTGCATTTGGATAATCCAGAAGAGGATTGGGAGAATGTCATATGGTCAGATGAAACCAAAATATAACTTTTTGGTAAAAACTCAACTCGTGGTGTTTGGAGGACAAAGAATGGTGAGTTGCATCCAAAGAACACCATACCTACTGTGAAGCATGGGGGTGGAAACATCATGCTTTGGGGCTGTTTTTCTGCAAAGGGACCAGGACGACTGATCCGTGTAAAGGAAAGAATGAATGGGGCCATGTATCGTGAGATTTTGAGTGAAAACCTCCTTCCATCAGCAAGGGCATTGAAGATGAAACGTGGCTGGGTCTTTCAGCATGACAATGATCCCAAACACACCGCCCGGGCAACGAAGGAGTGGCTTCGTAAGAAGCATTTCAAGGTCCTGGAGTGGCCTAGCCAGTCTCCAGATCTCAACCCCATAGAAAATCTTTGGAGGGAGTTGAAAGTCCGTGTTGCCCAGCGACAGCCCCAAAACATCACTGCTCTAGAGGAGATCTGCATGGAGGAATGGGCCAAAATACCAGCAACAGTGTGTGAAAACCTTGTGAAGACTTACAGAAAACGTTTGACCTGTGTCATTGCCAACAAAGGGTATATAACAAAGTATTGAGAAACTTTTGTTATTGACCAAATACTTATTTTCCACCATAATTTGCAAATAAATTCATTAAAAATCCTACAATGTGATTTTCTGGATTTTTCTTTTCTCATTATGTCTGTACCTATGATGAAAATTACAGGCCTCTCTCATCTTTTTAAGTGGGAGAACTTGCACAATTGGTGGCTGACTAAATACTTTTTTCCTCCACTGTATATATATATATATATATTTATTTATTTATTTATTTATTTATTTATTTATTTATTTATTTATTTATTTATTGTTAGTGTATGTCAATTCCCCATTACATACACTATTGTTCAAAAGTTTGGGGTCACTTAGAAATGTCCTTGTTTTTGAAAGAAAAGCACTTTTTTTGTCCATTAAAATAACATAAAATTCATCAGAAATACAGCGTAGACATTGTTAATGTTGTAAATGGCTATTGTAGCTGGAAACGGCTGATTTTTAATGGAATATCTACATAGGCGTACAGAGGCCCATTATCAGAAACCATCAGTCCTGTGTTCCAATGGCACGTTGTGTTTGCTAATCCAAGTTTATCATTTTAAAAGGCTAATTGATCATTAGAAAACCCTTTTGACATTATGTTAGCACAGCTGAAAACGGTTGTGCTGATTAAAGAAGCAATAAAACTGGCCTTCTTGAGACTAGTTGAGTATATGGAGCCTCAGCAATTGTGGGTTCGATTACAGGATCAAAATGGCCAGAAACAAATAACTTACTTCTGAAACTCGTCAGTCTATTCTTGTTCTGAGAAATGAAGGCTATTCCATGTGAGAAATTGCCAAGAAACTGAAGATCTCGTACAACGCTGTGTACTACTCCCTTCACAGAACAGCGCAAACTGGCTCTAACCAGAATAGAAAGAGGAGTGGGAGGCCCCGGTGCACAATTGAGCAAGAGGACAAATACACTGCTCAAAAAAATAAAGGGAACACTTAAACAACACAATGTAACTCCAAGTCAATCACACTTCTGTGAAATCAAACTGTCCACTTAGGAAACAACACTGATTGACAATAAATTTCACATGCTGTTGTGCAAATGGAATAGACAACAGGTGGAAATTATAGGCAATTAGCAAGACACCCCCAATAAAGAAGTGGTTCTGCAGGTGGTGACCACAAACCACTTCTCAGTTCCTATGCTTCCTGGCTGATGTTTTGGTCACTTTTGAATGCTGGCGGTGCTTTCACTCTAGTGGTAGCATGAGACGGAGTCTACAACCCACACAAGTGGCTCAGGTAGTGCAGCTCATCCAGGATGGCACATCAATGCGAGCTGTGGCAAGAAGGTTTGCTGTGTCTGTCAGCGTAGTGTCCAGAGCATGGAGGCGCTACCAGGAGACAGGCCAGTACATCAGGAGACGTGGAGGAGGCCATAGGAGGGCAACAACCCAGCAGTAGGACCGCTACCTCCGCCTTCATGCAAGGAGGAGCAGGAGGAGCACTGCCAGAGCCCTGCAAAATGACCTCCAGCAGGCCACAAATGTGCATGTGTCTGCTCAAACGGTCAGAAACAGACTCCATGAGGGTGGTATGAGGGCCCGACGTCCACAGGTGGGGGTTGTGCTTACAGCCCAACACCGTGCAGGACGTTTGGCATTTGGCAGAGAACACCAAGATTGGCAAATTCGCCACTGGCGCCCTGTGCTCTTCACAGATGAAAGCAGGTTCACACTGAGCACATGTGACAGACGTGACAGAGTCTGGAGACGCCGTGGAGAACATTCTGCTGCCTGCAACATCCTCCAGCATGACCGGTTTGGCGGTGGGTCAGTCATGGTGTGGGGTGGCATTTCTTTGGGGGGCCGCACAGCCCTCCATGTGCTCGCCAGAGGTAGCCTGACTGCCATTAGGTACCGAGATGAGATCCTCAGACCCCTTGTGAGACCATATGTTGGTGCGGTTGGCCCTGGGTTCCTCCTAATGCAAGACAATGCTAGACCTCGTGTGGCTGGAGTGTGTCAGCAGTTCCTGCAAGAGGAAGGCATTGATGCTATGGACTGGCCCGCCCGTTCCCCAGAACTGAATCCAATTGAGAACATCTGGGACATCATGTCTCGCTCCATCCACCAACGCCACGTTGCACCACAGACTGTCCAGGAGTTGGCGGATGCTTTAGTCCAGGTCTGGGAGGAGATTCCTCAGGAGACCATCCGCCACCTCATCAGGAGCATGCCCAGGCGTTGTAGGGAGGTCATACAAGCACGTGGAGGCCACACACACTTCTGAGCCTCATTTTGACTTGTTTTAAGGACATTACATCAAAGTTGGATCAGCCTGTAGTGTGGTTTTCCACTTTAATTTTGAGGGTGACTCCAAATCCAGACCTCCATGGGTTGATAAATTTGATTTCCATTGATAATTTTTGTGTGATTTTGTTGTCAGCACATTCAACTATGTAAAGAAAAAAGTATTTAATAAGATTATTTCATTCATTCAGATCTAGGATGTGTTGTTTAAGTGTTCCCTTTATTTTTTGAGCAGTGTACATTAGTGTCTAGTTTGAGAAACAGACGCCTCACAGGTCCTCAACTGGCAGCTTCATTAAATATTACCCGCAAAACACCATTCTCAACATCAACAGTGAAGAGGCGACTCTGGGATGCTGACCTTCTAGGCAGAGTTGCAAAGTAAAAGCCATATCTCAGACTGGCCAATAAAAAGAAAATATTAAGATGGGCAGTCTGAGATATGGCTTTTTCTTTGCAACTCTGCCTAGAAGGTCAGTATACCCATATTGTGTATTGCTGGCTAACATACTACTGTGTTACAGGGGGGAAATCGAATATGTTTTCTGTTTGCTAACTTAGGTAGCAAGCTAGTTAGCTAAGTAGATAACTAACTAAGTTAGCTAAACAACTACCGGTAGCCATATGTATGACAAAAAATAGAAGAGGTTTTACAATCTCAATTGTAAAACATGTTCTCTTTTTAGTAGTAGTTATATCTACTAAACAGCAAACTACAACGTTACAACCAGCCACCTAAAGCTAGGTTTATCATCAAACGTTAGCACATGACTGGAGTTGGCTAGCTAGTTAGCCTGGCACCTGGTAACTTGTTATGAGCCACGCCTCACGTTTGTAACTGTAAATCATTTCACTAGCTAGCTATGTAACATAATTGACATTGGTTATGATTATGACCGTGGATGCATTTCAGTCTCAAGATACTGTAGGATTCCAAACAGATGTAAATAACAAGTATTTTATATCAATCAAGCTAGCTAGCTAAGTTTTACTAGTGAACAGTGAGGAAATACAACAATTTACTGTTGTAAATCTCTAAAACTGAAACTCTTTTTACTATAAAAAATATTTGCCTAAGCATGCCTGATAGCAGTGGCGATTTTATCATGTAAATCTTGGTGGGGCAAAAAAAATTAAAACAACCTTTTTTAGATGCATGCCAGCAAAGCCACTAAACAATACATTATTTTGACTATAACGGTGGCAAACGGTGCCCACAAACTGTTAGGGCCTACATAAAGCTGTCCCAACAGCAGTCCCAACACCTTACCACCACTACGCATGGCTATCAGCGGCGCCTTGTCTGGCAGCGAAAAAGTTAGTTGAGCCTCATTTACTGCCTTTAAAAAAAACACATAGCTGATATGGCTGACTTGCTTAAACAAATGTGGTTTCTACTGACAATTGAGATGTACAAACTATGGCATAAGGGGACGACAAGCGGATAAGAGGCAATCCGTAATTTCGATTAAGACATTAATGAGCGAGCTAGGATGGACGTAGTCAATATAACTATTTGTTCAGCACTTTTGAAATGTACAGTGACAGAATTCAGAACATGGGCTGTTCTTACAGTATTCTCCCTGTACACCAAGTCAGAACCGTATTATAAATAAAGGGGGCATATAAGCAGACAATGAAAGCTCTTGAATATTTTAATGATTTTCTCTAAAACAGGCTATAGGCTACATGTGCACCACCAAGTCAGAACAGTACAGTCGTGGTCAAAAGTTTTGAGAATTTTTATTATTTTTTATTTATTATACATTTAGCAGACGCTCTTATCCAGAGCGACTTACAGGAGCAATTAGGGTTAAGTGCCTTGCTTAAGGGCACATCGACAGATTTTTCACCTAGTCGGCTCGGGGATTAGAACCAGCGACCTTTCGGTTACTGGCACAACGCTCTTACCCACTAAGCTACCTGCCGCCATGAATGACACAAATACTAATTTTCACAAAGTCTGCTGCCTCAGTTTTGATGATGGCAATTTGCATATACTCCAAAATGTCATGAAGAGTGATCAGATGAATTGCAATTAATTGCAAAGTCCCTCTTTGCCATGACAATGAATATAATCCCCCAAAAACATTTCCACTGCATTTCAGCCCTGCCACAAAAGGACCAGCTGCCATCATGTCAGTGATTCTCTCGTTAACACAGGTGAGAGTGTTGACGAGGACAAGGCTGGAGATCACTCTGTCATGCTGATTGATTTAGAATAACAGACTGGAAGCTTTAAAAGAAGGGTGGTGCTTGAAATCATTGTTCTTCCTCTGTTAACCATGGTTACCTGCAAGGAAACACGTGCCGTCATCATTGCTTTGCACAAAAAGGGCTTCACAGGCAAGGATATTGCTGCTAGTAAGATTCCACCTAAATCAACCATTTATCGGATCATCGAGAACTTCAAGGAGAGAGGTTCAATTGTTGTGAAGAAGGCGTCAGGGCACCCAAGAAAGTCCAGCAAGCGCCAGGACCGTCTCCTAAAGTTGATTCAGCTGCGGGATCGGGGCACCACCAGTGCAGAGCTTGCTCAGGAATGGCAGCAGGCAGGTGTGAGTGCATATGCACGCACAGTGAGGCGAATACTTTTGGAGGATGGCCTGGTGTCAAGAAGGGCAGCAAAGAAGCCACTTCTCTCCAGGAAAAACATCAGGGACAGACTGATATTCTGCAAAAGGTACAGGGATTGGACTGCTGAGGACTGGGGTAATGTCATTTTCTCTGAATCCCCTTTCCGATTGTTTGGGGCATCCGGAAAAAAGCTTGTCTGGAGAAGACAAGGTGAGCGCTACCATCAGTCCTGTGTCATGCCAACAGTAAAGCATCCTGAGACCATTCATGTGTGGGGTTGCTTCTCAGCCAAGGGAGTGGGCTCACTCACAATTTTGCCTAAGAACACAGCGATGAATAAAGAATGGTACCAACACATCCTCCGAGAGCAACTTCTCCCAACCATCCAAGAACAGTTTGGTGACGACCAATGCCTTTTCCAGCATGATGGAGCACATTGCCATAAGACAAAAGTGATAACTAAGTGGCTCGGGGAACAAAATATCGACATTTTGGGTCCATGGCCAGGAAACTCCCCAGACCTTAATCCCATTTGAGAACTTGTGGTCGATCCTCAAGAGGCGGGTGGACAAACAAAAACCCCACACATTTTGACAAACTCCAAGCATTGATTATGCAAGAATGGGCTGCCATCAGTCAGGATGTGGCCCAGAAGTTAATTGACAGCATGCCAGGGCGGATTGCAGAGGTCTTGAAAAAGAAGGGTCAACACTGCAAATATTGGCTCTTTGCATAAACTTAATGCAATTGTCAATAAAAGCCTTTGACACTTATGGAATGCTTGTAATTATACTTCAGTATACCATAGTAAGATCTGACAAAAAATATCTCATAACACTGAAGCAGCAAACTTTGTGAAGAGCAATACTTGTGTCATTCTCTCAACTTTTGACCACGACTGTATGTCCATTACATGAAATCCATTTAAATTACAGGTTGTAATGCAACAAAATAGGAAAAACGCCAAGGGGGATTAATACTTTTGCAATGTACTGTGTATATATACAAAAGTATGTGGACACCCCTTCAAATTAGTGATTCGGCTATTTCAGCCACACCCGTTGCTGACAGGTGTATAAAATTGAGCACACCGCCATGCAATCTCCATAGACAAACATTGGCAGTAGAATGGCTCATACTGAAGAGCTCAGTGACTTTCAACGTGGCACCGTCATAGGATGCAACCTTTCCAACAAGTCAGTTCGTCAAATCTCTGCCCTGCTAGCGCTGCCCCGGTTAACTGTAAGTGCTGTTATTGTGAAGTGGAAACGTCTAGGAGCAACAACGGCTCAGCCGCGAAGTGGTAGGCCACACAAGCTCACAGAACGGCCCCGCCGAGTGCTGAAGCGCGTAAAAGTCGTCTGTCCTCGGTTGCAACACTCACTACCAAGTTCCAAACTGCCTTTGGAAGCAACGTCAGCACAAGAACTGTTCGTTGGGAGCTTCATGAAATAGGTTTCCATGGCCGAGCAGCCGCACACAAGCCTAAGATCACCATGCACAATGCCAAGCGTCGGCTGGAGTGTTGTAAAGCTCGTCGCCATTGGACTCTGGAGCAGTGAAAACGCGTTCTCTGGAGTGGAGGGAAATCTTAACACTACAGCATACAATGACATTCTAGACGATTCTGTGCTTCCAACTTTGTGGCAACAGTTTGGGGAAGGCCCTTTCCTGTTTCAGCATTACAATGCCCCGTGCACAAAGCGAGGTCCATACAGAAATGGTAGAACTTGACTGGCCTGCACAGAGCCCTGACTTCAACCCCATCGAACACCTTTGGGATGAATTGGAACACCGACTGCGAGCCAGGCCTAATTGCCCAACATTAGTGCCCGACCTCACTCATGCTCTTGTGGCTGAATGGAAGCAAGTCCCCGCAGCAATGTTCCAACATCTAGTGGAAAGCCTTCCCAGAAGAGTGGATGCTGTTATAGCAGCAAAGAGGGGACCAACTCCATATTAATGTATATGATTTTGGAATGAGATGTTTGACGAGCAGGTGTCCACATACTTTTGGTCATGTAGTGTATGTGAATCATAGATATTTAAATTTTTTGTCCTTGTATGTCTGATCGAAAATGAGCTAAATCCGACTCATGAAATGTCCAGCGGCCAAATGATTTTACCTGTTCAGGCACCGAAAATCATTGTGCTTCTTCACATGATGGTGACATATCTGAGCTTTCATTTGCACCATATTCAGTAGTAGGCTATACAAGGCACGGAAAGGCAAACATCCAAGTTGCTATATCCAAAGCACATCTCTTCTATTTCTGTTTAAAAAATGCATCATAACAAATCCAGAGCTCCAATCACAACACATGTTTTCTGGAAAGATGCAAACTTAGGTCTATCTTTGCAAAACATTTATTTTATTTAACAGAAAATAAAAGTTGCACACCCACAAAACCCCTGCCTGCACTGTTTGCTATTATGGATGATGCGATGGGTGCAGAGTTGTTAATCAGCAGCGGTCCCTCGCTGTCCAGACCCAACGTGGTGGTAGAGAGTTGGTCTGTGATCCACTCTAAACTGTCAATGCATAAATCATTAATTAAAATTATTATTGCAAGAAAATATTGTCATTTCACATAACCATACCACAAGTTAACGTTAGCTACTCTACCTGCTTCATTCATGATGAGAGCACTAACTGGAACTAGCTAGCCAAGTTGCTAGTTAGCTAGCTATTTAGGGTAAATTAACCAGTAATACAAAATATGTCTAAATGTTTTAAAACGTTAGCTGTCAACTTGAGACTTGATAGGGGGTAAAAATGCTTTTCCCTGAAGGTAAGGCAATTTTGTTATTTGTTAGCTAGGCTACCAGTTAGCTTTACCCCCCCCCCCCCCATCAAGTCTAGCTAGCTAGCCTTACTGGCTACTGGCCAAATAAGCTAACGTTCTTGATTTAAATTACTAGAATAAATAAATCATATGTCAAATTAGTTACTCACATTAGCTTTAACTTCTTTGAGGTATTTTCTGAACAGCTTCTCATTTCTATCAGTATTTTTTGGAGAACATCTAATGAGGACATGTTTTTATCTTGCAGTTAATGCGTGTCAGAACTGTGTCAGGCATCACCTATCACTGTCGCTCTGGGAAGTCCTTCAAGGGTCAGATGATGGATCGCTTCTTGCTGACAGACTGCAGGGCAGTCCTGAGTGGAAACTATAGGTGAGTGTTCAATAATGAAGAATGTCATACAAAGTGTTTCAAATTTGTACAAATGTTGCATGATTTCTCAAGCAGACCTGACATTTGGTCATGTGGATCTGAAAAACACTACATGAAGTTGCTTTTACACCTGTGTCATAACAAATACATAACATTAGTGTTGTTGCATTTTAATTTAGCAACTACTTTGTTTCTTTCATATATGTTTTATTGGAATTATTTTCTTTTTTAAGTGCAAAAACATGCCACCTGGTGGCAGACAAGCCACACAGCAATCGTAAACAACAAATCCATACAATACGAGACAAAACAACACTGACAAATAATTGACAAAGAGCAATAATAGTGATACAGTTCGGGTCCTTTACGACACCAACCAGATTGTGCTCATGAGCTTCCAACCTGTACAGGCCGTCGGAGATGCACCCAGAAAAACAAATATAAATAGTATTTCACCCGCTCCTACATACATATGATGATTGTAAATGCCCAATACTATGCCTCCCCATCCCCGCCCCAGCACCAACACAGCCCGTCCCCACCAACCAAATCATCCAACCTTTGATCGGATGACTCAAGTGTGTCAGTGCTAGGGCAGAAACAAAAACGTGCAAACCCCCCGGTCTTCCGGGAAACGGACCGGGAGACACCAGCCCAGCACAATAGGCCTACATACTATTCAAACCCCTGGGCAGAATATCGGCAAGCTCCCCCGGAACGTGGTCGATAAGTGGCTTCCACATTTTAATTAAACAATTTGTATTTCTGTGTAGGTCAGCCGACAGCTCTACAAGGGAAGAATCTTAAATATTGATCTGTACCACATTGTTACAGTAGGTGGTGTATTATCGATCCATTTACAAAGAATACGTTTCCTTGCTAACAAAAGCAGTTTTTCCTAAATGTGTTTGTTCCTATTCAATATGGATGGATCAAGCTGTATATTGAGTAAAAATAATCCTGGCTCTTTGTAAATTGAGTTGAACATAGAGCTTGATTCAATAGAGATTCTATTCCAGTAAAACTAAATCTTCGGGCATGTCCAGAAACAGTGAAAATAAGACCCAATGTCTGAGCAAATGGGGGAGATCTGTGGGCTGAACTTGCTCAGAGTGTGGGGGGTTAAATAGAGCCTATGTAAAAACAGGGTTTCTCTGAGCCTATTGCAGAAAAGAGTAGCATTTATGGAATTGATAGCTTTAATGTATTTGTTTTGTAATTGCATAGTAATGGAGTTGAGTTCCTTATTCCATTGTAATACAAATATGTTGCTTTATTATGCTGTGTAATGAAATTCAATTAATCTCACTGCCCGCAGCTTCATGTGGTCTTTTGAGAAGCTTCACCGTTGCATGGCTCACCTCTTCCAAGGACAGCTTGTGACTACTTTTGATGAGGAGTTCCGGATCCTGTTTGCACAGTCCCAACCTTTGGTACCCGAAAATGTCCTTGTTCCAATGCCACACTACAGCAGTTTATCTGACAGCCAATACAGCACTGATCGGACACCATTGTTCAGCGATCCAAGAAAGTTCCTCCCCATAGAGAGCTCTCGTGCTGAAGAATGGGCTAGACATTCCTCTGATGACCACATGGATATGGTTCAAAAAATGATGCCCCCTGGAAGGTGTGAGCCCATCCACAGGTCACTAGATCAGGGTCAACTAGATATGTACAGCAACAAGTACTCCTCCCAGCAATTAAAAATGGAGCAGCAGTCATTTATGGCACAAGGTCACCCCGTCATGCAGCCGAACACAATGGAGTTTGCTGGCTCTAAAAGGCACAGTTATGCAGAAGGCACTTATGCCAGACATTCCTCCTCTCAATTCATGCAGCACCAAGCCATGCACAGCTTTGAGGGGGGTATGGCAACCCAGAACAGGAATATACATAGGGAACAGCATCACTATCAGAGAACAGGGCTAGAGCCAGGTTATAGCGGCTACGATCAATTCAGGGACCATGGTTACCCTCTGATGGATCAGTATTCTGAGTCTGGGTACCCACATGGAATAGAGATAGAGCCACCAGACAACTATGACCCTGTACTGAATTATTTGTCATCATCAAACCTTGCTGTGGAGCTGGGACATGGCTCAAACAAATTATCAAGACCAGGAGAGGGTCCCTTTAGTCAATCGAACCCCAAAAGACTGAGCGCGGGCCAGCCTCATGCCTGTCAGACCTCCCCAACACAACAAAACCCATTTGAACAGAAACAATTTTTTGTCGGGTCTGGTTCGGACCAGTAAAACACGGGATCCCAATGCAAAGCAGGGGATGCGAGATTGGAGGATCAGCTCATACCTCAGTGCATATGATGATGCAGGAGAGGAAGACATTCCACAGTCTATGGGAAATGACCCCTTTCAAGAGCCCCTTAATCCATCACAAGGCAAATTATTTGCTCCACTGGTATCAGATCCCAGGTTTAGTGCCAAAGAGTTACCCAAGATTCCAGGGCTCAGGTTAAACAAGCCCACCCACCCAGAACACTCAAGAACACCAGATATTCTTGATAGCTTGGCAACAGATGCCAGAACAACACTAAAACCACCTTCGGAGTCGTCATCAACCACTGAAGGTGACAAATCAGAAGAGATGGATGTAAAAGAGCCCAAAAGAGAAGAGTCATTCCGTAGGAGGTTCAATCCTGTTATCCAAAGGACCTCTAGACTAAGATCCTCACTAATCTTCAGCTCACAACTAGAACAGCATATCTCACAGGAACATAAACTTACCTCTGGCCAACACTGTGAGGAAACTGCCAATGAGGAAGATGACCAATCTAGATTATCCTTGACCACTCAGATTTTGGGAAAAAGAAGATCCATTACAAGAGAACCTTTTGAATGGAGACTGAAGTCAGTGACAGTTGATAATTCAACCATAGAGTCTTTGAAATCTGAGGATATCTCTACTGATACAGGTGATAAGGAATTGCCAAAGAATCCTCCTGTGGGCACCGACATGGTTTCTTCAATGGAACAACCTAATCCTGCCCATAAAGAACAAACCAAAATGGTACAATCTGCACATCCATCCAAACCTGCTCAAGTTGAGCAACCCAAAACCATACAATCAGCACACCAGGCATCTTCATTGAGCAATACAGCCTATATAGATATGAATGATCCAGACAGAAGGTTACATTTTTTTAAAGAGTTGGCTGCCAAACGAAAAGCTGCAAAGGCTGCAGAGTCTGAGAGCAGCGCTGAAAAAGCTCCTGTAAAACCAGTGACTCCATTTGACTTGAAAATTAAGGACCAGGTTACAAGGGTAGAACCTAACCTTCCAATGGCCCCACTAAATCCAGCAGATACTTCAACCAAAAAGCCAGCTCCATCAACAGAGACCCCACTTAATCCAGCAGATACTTCAACCAAAAAACCAGCAACATCGACAGAAGCCCCACTTAATCCAGCAGATATATCCACTAAAAAGCCAGCTACATCAACAGAGGCCTCATCAGAAAAAATTGAGACTTCACCAGTCTCACAGGAGAGCAAAACATCCATGGCAACATGTGGCTCATTACATCTTGATGTCAAAGACCAGGCTTCTAAAAATAACGAACAGGAAGACCTTCATCTTCCCAAAACTGACTCCAAAACATTCCTCAGGGATAAATTATCTTGTGTCGATGGACTACTTAGAGTCTCTACTGATACTGAGAAGATTGAGCTGAAGAACAGTCAGAACCAAAGTGTGTCTAAGGTTAACCCTAGAGATGCAAGTGCATTTCCTAAGAGCACCTCAAAAGAGCGTACCTTTAACATCGCCCCAAAGGATTTCAAACTATCTCCAAAGAAACCAAAGTCATTCAATCCTGCTTCAAATGAGCTAAACCCATCTCTTCCACTCACGCTAATAGAAGCTAGCTCATCTTCATATCCGACACCAAAGAGTTCGAGCTCAACTAGTCCCACTTCATCAAAAAATGCAGGAAAGGAGTCGAGCTCAGCTCTTACCCCCACCCTTAAGGAGGCCAGTTCATCTAACCCCACGTCAAAGCAGCCATTACCATCCTCTAAACCTATCACAGTAGAGTCCAACGTACCTCTGAGCCCCACCCAATCTGAATCAAGGTTCTCTCCTCATCCTGTTCCATCAGAATCCAGCACCTCCCCTTTTACCATCCCATTGCAATCCAGTCCCCCCCCTATTCCTCATCCAGTTGAGCCAGTTGTGTCTCCCATACCTGACAAAACAGATTCCAAGGAATCTCTCAGCCCTACTCCAATACAATCTTGCTCATCCTCAATCCCTGCAACAGAATTTAGCCCTCCGCCAAACCCTACCCAAACAGAATCTAGTTTCTTACCCAAGTCCACCTTAGTTGGGTTCACTTCATCAACACCAATGGAATCTAACACCTCTCCCAAGCCCTCCACAAAAGAGTCATTGTCTACAATTGCCACAACTGAGTTGAGGTCACCCTCTCTTAAGACCAACCCAATAAAATCCTATTCCTCCCCTAGTCCTGGCCAACATGAGTCGGTTTTGTCACCCAAACGATCCAAAACAGCATGCAACTCCTCTCCAAAGCCCACTACAACGTCCAACAACTCTTCCAACTCTTCACCTCCATCTTCAAAGCATGCCATGGAAGAAACCAACAAATCTCCCATCCTCACACCAACAAAATCTAGCTCTCCTCCTGAGCCTACTCCAACAGAATCTAGTGCTTCTTCCAATCCAACACCAAGAGAACTCAACTCTCTTCCTAGCACCACCCCAACGGAACCAAGTGCATCTACTGGCCCTACCCCAACAGAATCAAGTGCATCTTCTAACCCAACTCCAACAAAATCACACTCCACCCCTACATGTGGGTCAGGTGGATCAGTTGTGTGTCCCAAGCCTGGCCAAACAAAATCCATCACTTCTCCAAACCTCACCCAAAAAGAATCTTGTTCCTCTCCTAATTATACCCTAACTGAGCCTACCTCACCATTCAACCCTGTCCTTGTGGAATCTGTACAATCAAGCAACTCAAACCCAACTGAATCCACTGCCTCTCATGACACCGTCCCAGCTCCACCCGTCGTTGTGGTTAACAGTAAGGAGGGCAAACCAAGTAACCTTAACAAGGAGCAAAAAGCGGGAAGTTCTGCAGCTTCTAAAGGTGAGAAGAAAGCAGGTAATCCTGAGACTACGAGCAAAACTGCTCCTGGAGAATCTGCCTCCCATGGACCGCTGAGTCCTGATGAGACCAGAGAGAATAACAGCACTATGAAACCAGAGAGCACAATAGATCAAGGCAATCCCATATCACCCCCAGCGAAGCAAGCTAAAGTAAGCCAGTCCCACTACCATTCATCTACTGCAAATGTACTCTCTAGCAGCAACCTAAGAGATGACACAAAGCTCCTATTAGAGCAGATTTCTGCTAACAGCCAAAGCAGGACAGAACTCACTAAAGAATCTGCTGTCACTGATGATGCCAAACAGGATGAGGCTGACCGGGGTGTTAGTGGTAAGGAGGAAGCATCAGCCCAACGACAGATCGGAGGCCCGACTAGAACTTCTCAGGAGAGGGAGAAGCTTCTTCAGAGAATCGAGAGCATGCGGAAGGAGAGGAAAGTCTACAGCCGCTTTGAGGTAAAGTACCCTACTGCATCAATAGGCCAGTAGCAATTTAACAAAATAAAAATTAAAGGTACCAATTATACCCGAGGTACCTAATTGTTTTCAATCACACCTGCTTGCCTTCATCTGAGCTCATGTTTTCTGCTTGTTATTCTGTATTTTGTTAGATGGCGCCTTAACCCGGGATCGGAAGGATGAGTGAGTACGGAGAAAGACCTTTGCACATTTTCCTCTAGAACTTGTCCTTTAACTATGTCCATTCCCCAAAAGACTAAAACAACAGGTTGGAGAGGGACCGCTAGCTAACCAACAGAGATATTATTCTCAGGTTTCTATATTAGAGGGTTTCTCCGAATGGACTGTCTGCATGTAAAGGATTAAGGTTTTTGGGAACATGAACAAAAACTTGACTAAGTTTACCAACATGGATTACTGGGGCGGCAGGTAGCTTAGTGGTTAAGAGCGTTGTGCCAGTAACCGAAAGGTCGCTGGTTCTAATCCCCGAGCCGACTAGGTGAAAAATCTGTCGATGTGCCCTTGAGCAAGGCACTTAACCCTAATTGCTCATGTAAGTCGCTCTGGATAAGAGCGTCTGCTAAATGATTAAAATGTAAATGTAAAATGTAAATAAGCAGAGACTCTACAGTGTGGGCAATGGACCACTGCTATCTACAAGGTGGAACTGAAAAATCACACTCCACCCCTGAAAATGATATATAGACTCGCTGGACACAGGTATTGTTGACTGCAATTGTTGAATGTAATATCTGTCACTCTGGGTTGTTTAATTATTATCTGTTTGAGGATCTGTTTTATATACTAACAGCCATTTACAAAAACTTTAAATTAGAATCGCCATTATTCACCATAGAAAATGGATTAATCATAAACAGTGCATGTATGCAGTTGAAGTCAGAAGTTTACATACACCTTAGCCAAATACATTTAAACTCTGTTTTTCACAATTCCTGACATTTAATCCTAGTAAAAATTCCCTGTCTTAGGTCAGTTAGGATCATCACTTTTATTTTAAGTATGTGAAATGTCAGAATAATAGTAGAGAGAATGATTTTATTTCAGCTTTTATTTCTTTCATCACATTCCCAGTGGGTCAGAAGTTTACATACACTCAATTAGTATTTGGTAGCATTACCTTTAAATTGTTTAACTTGGGTCAAATGTTGCGGGTAGGTAGGTCAAAGGTCAGGGCTTTGTGATGGCCACTCCAATACCTTGACTTTGTTGTCCTTAAGCCATTTTGCCACAACTTTGGAAGTATGCTTGGGGTCATTGTCCATTTGGAAGACCCATTTGCGATCAAGCTTTAACTTCCTGACTGATGTCTTGAGATGTTGCTTCAATATATCCACATAATTTTCCTTCCTCATGATGCCATCTATTTTGTGAAGTGCACCAGTCCCTCCTGCAGCAAAGCACCCCCACAGCATGATGCTGCCACCCCTGTGCCTCACGGTTGGGATGGTGTTCTTTGGCTTGCAAGCTACCCCCCTTTTCCTCCAAACATAACGATGGTCATTATGGCCAAACAGTTCTATTTTTGTTTCATCAGACCAGAGGACATTTCTCCAAAAAGTACGATATTTTGTCCCCATGTGCAGTTGCAAACCGTAGTCTGGCTTTTTTATGGCGGTTTTGG